GGCAATCCACTCACCTCAGCCTCCCAAAGGCATGGGATTACAGGCTGAGTCACCGAGTCCAGCTTTTTTGGAGATTCTTTGAATGTTTTTGCCCATTTCATGATGGGTGATTTACCAGCATATCTGCCACACTGCGCTGTTTAGCAGTTTTTGACCAAAAACAGCATAACCCCTATTCCCCACCCTTCCTCCTTATCCACCCGATCTCACCCCAAGCAACTTTTTATTTTGGTCTCAAACTTCTGGCCTCAAATGATCCTCCCACCTCAGCCTTCCAAAGCACTGGGATTATAGGCATGAGCCACCGGGCCTGGACTGACCTCACATTTATGTCTCCCCTGGGTCTTTTAGGGCCTCTATTAGACACACTCCGGCCTACAGAGACGTCACTTTCCCTTAGGCATGCTTCAAGGAATCTGTTCCCAGGGAGATGTTGCCTCAGGACACAGAGCACACCAGCTTTCCTGCCACACATGTCCTTCCCTGAGTGCCCTCAACCTTGAGCAGAGCCCCAGCTCCCCTTGCCCCAGCTGCTGAAGCCAGAAGCTGGGACTTCATCCTTGAGCTTCCTCTTCCCCAATCTCCCATCGGTCGTTTACAAGTCCTGTTCCCCTGGGTCCCTTCAAATCGGCTTCCTTCTCACCACCCTCACTGCCCTGACCCTAGCCGAGTCTCCAACTGCCTCACCGGCTTCCTGGGTGTGGTCATACCCTCCTTGGACCACAGCGAGGGGACTTTTTTTTTTATTTTTTGAGTCAGGGTCTCGCTCTGTCGCCCTGGCTGGAGTGCAGTGGTACCATCACAGCTCACTGTAGCCTCAACCTCTTGGGCTCAGGAAATTCTTCTGCCTCAGCCTCCCAAGTAGCTGGGACTACAGGCATGTGCCACCACACCTAGCTACTTTTTACATTTTTTGTAGAGATGAGATCTTGCTATGTTGCCTAGACTGGTCTCAAACTCCTGGCCTCAAGCAATCCTCCCGCCTTGGCCTCCCAAAGTGCTGGGATTACAGGCATGAACCACCACACCTGCCCTGCCACTTTCATTTAAAGCCATTGCTGACCCCTTCTTCTCTGCCCATCTCTTAGTGGCCCCAATCCCACCCCTGCTACTCCTGCCACACAAGCCTTCACTCCACCCTCTCTGTGACCTGCAGGCCTATGGCCCCCATGCCTAGAGCTTTCTTGCTCAGCCCCAGTGTCTCAGTCTAGATTCATATCCTTCTGGAAACTACTTCCCCCAGGCCTTAGAGAGGGAGGGTTCCTGCATGCTCCTGCAGTCCCTGTATCTTCCTATTAGCCACCATCATCCTTCTGTTCACTTCTCTGATCCTTCTGTTCACTTCTCTCAAAAGCCTGGCAAGAGCCACATCTCTTTTTCACTGTAGTATCCCCAGCACATAGCCAATTGCTTGGCACCTGAAAGATGCACGATACACATTTTCACAGTAGATAAATGCACATATGTCCCTATAAACACATTCTCCTTGGTCTTAACCAAAAGCTAATTCTGAAGATCAAAACATCAACTAACTTTCATATTAAGGAAAAATACCTCCAAACACATCTAGTTGGTTCCACTCTAATATCTCTAGAGCCCAATTCCCCCAGCACAGACAAGCCAGGATGACTCGAAGACAGGTCTTGCCCCGGGAAGAACAAACTAGTCTAGTGAGCATGACCCACATCTGGCAGGGGATGAGGAATCTGATTGCTTCACTTCAGGCCCAGTCCCAGAAATCCTGTTTAACTTCAGCCCTTGTTAAACTACAGGATCAGAGTCCAAGCTGAAAAGAAAAACAAACTGCTTTCGGACTAGGTGACACCAGGGAGGGAGGGAGCCCTGGAGTCATGGCATCTCAGTTCAAATCCCAGCTCTGCCTCTTAGGGAGGGGTGTATCCCCTTGGTGCTCCTCTCCAAACCTGTTTCCCATCTGTAAAATGGGGCCAAGATTCCCCATTCAACAGGGCTCGCGAGCAGGCTGAGCAAGATGCGGAAGGCATGGACCACGGAGGAGCAGAACTGAGGCAAATCTCCAGTTTACAGGGCTATTAACAGAGGGCTATTTCAAAGGGCACATCCAATCCTCTGACCCATACATACCATTTTCTTCCAAAAACCTGAACGCGTCCAGGTATCCTTGAAAGCAGATCTCTCGGAATGCCTGTGAGCAAATCAAGCAAGGGGAGTCACTACGTGCCACTTATTTAAACATCATCTGAAGACCACAGAGATAACAGAAGAGCCTCACAGGCTCTGAACACAGCCACCTCAAGGCTGAGCAAAGGACTCTGTGCTCCTGTTTCCTTCAGACCTGGTTTGAATGTCACCCCTCCACAAAAACCTTGTTGGCACCCCAGCAAAACAGGTACTTGTTTCCCTGGGTTTTCTGGGTCCCGGGATGGGTCTCCGCCCTAACAAATGTTGAGGCTTGTCTAATCATCACTGGAACAATAATTCAGCTGCCTCCTCATCTGCATACAAGGCATACAGTAAATTCAGTCTTTTTTTTTTTTTTGGCTTGTCTGTTTTGAGCCAGAGTCTCATGCTCACAGCCAGTCCAGTGTTGACCTGCTGGGCTCCGGCGAGCCTTCCAAGTAGCTGAAACCACAGGCACACGCCACCATGCCCAGCTAATTTTTTGATTTATGGTAGAGATGAGGTCTCTCCATGAGGTCCATGCTAGTCTCAAACCCCTGGGCTCAGGCAATTTTCTCGCCTCTGCCTCCCAAAGTGCTGGGATGACAGGTGTGAGCCACTGTGCCCAGCATTTTTTTTTTTTTGGTCACTCAGGCTGGAGTATAGTGGCATGGTCACAGCTCACCGAAGCTTGGACCTCCTGAGCTCAGGTGATCCTTCCACCTTGGCCTCCCCAGTAGCTGGAACTACAGTCATGCATCACCATGCCTGGCTAATTTTTTGATTTTTTTTTTTGGTAGAGATGTGGTCTCACTGTGTTGTCTAAGCTGGTCTCAAACTCTCAGGCTCAAGCAATTCTCCTACCTCAGCCTTCCAAAGTGCTGGAATTATGGGCATGAGCCACCATACCCTGTAGAAAACCAGTATGCCCTCTCCCTCAGAGCCTGGGCTAGGGGTGTGTAATGGATTGTTCGGTCTTTGTTCTCTGGGAGCACCAGCTGTTGGCGTACACAGTCTGCAGATTTCTTACTATGTCAAAGTGGTAAGGCACACTAAAACAACAGCAATCAAAAAAGGTTAAATCACCTAATGTGGTGATTGGGACTGCAGTTGCAAATGAGAATCATCTTAGTAACAGAAATGACAACAAAAAACACCCTGTGCCTGTGCTGCATTTCCTGATTACTTAATCTAGTCCCAGAAGTGGACCTGAGCTTCCGGTCTGGGTCTATGTTCCCAGGGGATTCTCATGATCAGAGTGACACATCACTGAGCTTCTGGGACAAGTATCTTTGAGTTAATCATCAACGGTTAACAGGTCTGTCTCTGTTTGATTGTGTAGAGAGCAACTGAAATCTCCTGGCAAACAGAAAGGCAAAGAGTCACACCCCCAGAATACTCCCCACTCACCTTGACATCTGGGGGGGATAATGCTCTGGCAAGAAGGTGGATGTTCTTTGAGCAGAGGCATAGACTTTGCTTGGTGATGTTCACGTGAAGAAAGTTCGTGGACTTGACTTTAGGGCAGATGTCGTGTTCCCCATAAAAAGGGGACACGGTGATGGTCGTTTTAGTATCAATGAAGGGTATGTTGTCACTCGCTCCTCCATCCATGTATCGCTTTTAAGGAAGGAAAAAGACAACTGATACTGTCTAAAGCTCTGGACTAGTGTTTAGTGAGTTTTCAGACTATGAGCAGAAGCTTCTCAGAGCAGCAAACAAGCTGGAGGGAGGAGCTTTGGAATCACTCTTGCAACAAATCTTTACCAAGCATTTCTATGTCAGGCCAGGCTCTACATTGGCACTCAAGATTGCTGTACACTGCCGTACAGTGTTTGCACTGCATAAAAATGCCTGACAAAGAGGCAGATGGGGACTAGAGTCCAGGCCATGTTGTGCTGGTCAGGTCCTAAGGCCTGGTGAGTACCCATAGCTGTGCCCATGTAGAAAGGGTCATATAAACTAGGGGTTCCCTGGTTGTCTAGTGATTAGGAAAATAAAAGGAAAAAAAAAACTAGTGGTGCACTAGAGTGTGATAAAAACCCAAAGGAGACATGATTATGGGTTCAAACCCAAATTCCTTGCTGCTTGGGAAATCTGGGACGAGATATTTAACCTGTGAGCCTCTCTCTCCCACCTTCCCCTTACCTCACCTTGAAAATAAGAACCAACACCTTGAGGGGCTTTTGAGACTTAAATTAAACACTGAACCCGGAGCCTAGGCAGCTCTCAGAAAAATTTCTCATGTCCCACAATAAAGTGGCATTTTGGATGAATTATTCTGAGCATGAGTTTTCCTTCATCTATATCTTTAAACAACCTTATTGCCCATAGCTAAGCGGAGGCAAGTAGGTTTTGTTACAATTCAGACAGAATTTGCACCTGTGAAACCAGTGTCTTTAATAATTTCCAGCCACAACCATCACAGGCAGCTGTCCTGTGAAAGGCCTCCGAAAGGTTACGCCTGGAAGACATTCTCAGCCAACCCTCCCGCATGGAAAAATTTCAGAGCAGAGCTCTGCTGGAAACCGGTTCAGAAAAGAGTCGGGCGTGTTTAGTCACACCCTTAGCCATCAAGATTCCTACCTGAAGTCCAAACGTGACCAGAAGTGTACACAGAAACATTTTCAAAACTGTAGCCACACAACTTCTATGGCGGATGTATGAAAGACATTAAAAGCTTCTCTTGCTGGCATAAAGGGACATGGAACCAAATGTCAGGAATCTGTGGTGAAGTCTACTGAAGGGGAGGAAGCAGACTGGCCATCCTCATTCAAGGGCTATCCCAATTGTTCCTCTACCATATAGAATTTTTCAATCTATCTTGTACTTTTCTATTAAAAATTTTTTTTAATTAATTTTTAAAATTTATTTATTGTAGAGATGAGGTCTCACCAAGTTGCCCTGGCTGGTCTCGAACCCACGAGGTCAAGCAATTCACTTGCCTCAGCCTCCTAAGGTGCTGGGATTACAGGCTGAGCCACTGAGCCTAGCCATTTTTTTTTTTTATAATCAATATTTTTTGTTATGATATTGTGGGGTACAGTTAAGGGTTAGGTATACAAATACATTTCGTTCAGGCACCCTTGTTGATAAGAGGTGTTTCCCCGTCCCATCCCCAGACAGATATTGCTACCGTTAATTCCATCTCCCTCCCCCCTCCATAGTTTCCCACTACTGTCAGTCATTTTCTTATAGTGCTAGAGCCTAGACTTTTTAGCTTTTAATTTTGATGATGTAGGGTACAATTCAAGGTTAGGTATACAAATATTCATTATGCAAGTACCCTTGTTGATGAGGTGTGCCCCCCCCACTACCCTGGCAGTTTTCAACTACTGCCAATTCCTTTCTTAGAGTATTATGATAAATGTTCAAGGTCCATTTATGAGAGAGAACATGTGGTACTCAGTTCATTGTTTCTGTGATAGATCACTCAGTATTATAGCCTCTAAGTCCATCCAAATTGCTGGAAGTTCATAATTTTATCCTTCTTTATGACTGCGTAATATTCCATCATGTATATGTACCCTTTTTTTTTAATCCAGTCCTTTTTTTCGATGGGCAGCACAGTTGATTCCATGTTTTTGCTATTGTAAATAATGCTGCAATAAACATGCATGTGCAGGCATCTTCCTATAGTAATGTTCTGAGTTTGTGTGGGTTGAATCTCAGGGATAATCTGTTGTAATTTTCAGAGGATTCCTATGAGTACACTGAATAAATGGGTGGTCATGCAGCATTGCTGGCCTCTATGCACTAGATGTGACAACCAAAACTGTCTTATGACACATCCAGAGGTCCCCAATGAGGGGAAGGGGATGGGTGAGGACACAAGGCTGCCACATGACCTGGCATAGACCCAGCACCTGGTCTAGAGCCTGTAATCTCAGCAATTAGGGAGGCTGAGGGGGAAGACTGCTTGAGGCCTGGAGTTTGAAACCAGCCTAGGCAACATAGTGAGACTTTGTCTCTATAAAAAAAATCTTAAAATGAGCTGGGTGTGGTGGTGCACGCCTATAGTCTCAGCCACTCTGGAGACTGAGGGGAAAGGATTACTCAAGCCCAGGAGGTTGAGGCTGTAGTGAACTGTGATCATGCCACTGTACTCCAGCCTGGGCAACAGAGTAAGACCCTCGGCTCAAGAAAAAGAATACACACACACACTCACACACACACACACACACACACACACACACACACACACACACACACACGTATGTCTTGGTCACTCAGCGGCTGGGCCCTGTGTGCTCCTGTCCTGGGCCCCTGGGCACAAGCTCCCTGGCTGTGTGCCCTTGGGCAAGTCGGAGTCTCGACTTCCCCACCCATCACACAGGATGAATAACCACACCTGCTCATGTAGTACCTGGCTGGTAGCAGGGCCTCCTGCGGGAGCACTCCGTCTACAACTCGCCTCTGCCTATGCTACCCATAGGACTTAATCACATATTCTGCTGCTGTTCTCATGAGCTCATAAATGACCCTAAAAGGTTGGTGTTCTAGAGACTGAACTTTGTCTTGTGCATCACAAAGCAATAGAACAAAATAAAGCAAGAAATCTGCATCAGGCCAGGGATACAGATTTTGTTCTTAGTTTAGAATATATACGACTATTATATTTCCCCCTAAGAATAAAACTCTACCTTACAGGAGTAACAGACTCTTAAGCATCTTATACTTTAACTAGGCCACTAAGAAGCTGTCTTCAGTGCTCATGTGCAGATTAAGTGAACCAGCCAGTTTACCTTACAGATAGCAGGATAATTAATTACACACCAAGTAAGTTTTGCAGGCCAGGTAGCCTGGAAGTCGGGCCTGGTATGGATTCTCTGTCTGAAAGGCAGAGGCACAGGGCTCCGCCTTGGGACACAGTCTGAGGTGACTCACACTCGCACCTCATAGGCAGGGGCTGTGTAGGCATGCTTTAAAAGGGCAGCCCCCAAAACTCAGTACAAGCCGCTGCCAGAAAGCAGACTTACCACACCTCTGAAGGAAGGAGGGATAAAGCCACAGTAGAAAGGAATGAAGCAGGAACACAGCAGGGCCTGTGAACAAAGCAGAGACAAGAGAGTGAAGCCACAGGCTAAGGAAGACATTCAGCCTTTTCATTTCTCTACCCATTCAGCCTTCTCCAAACAGGAAGGGCAGCAATTCTGAAAGTGTTCTTTGCACAGAGTAGGTGCTTTAATAAATGGGCTGAACGAACAGGGACCCAACAGTCACACTGTATGTCAGAGCCATGGGGTCTTATCTAGTACATAAGCCCCTGAACAATGCTGCCTGTGGACTTCAACTTCCTCTCCTTGCTCTCCACAAAAGCCATACCACACTGGGTCATCACAGACAGGACCAAGAGTTGTTGGCTCATGGACTGGAAGGGGCTAGATAGGTGCTTCTCAAATGCTGATGTTAGAATCACCGGAGAGCTCCCCTCTCGGGGATTCTGATGCAGCAGGATGGAGGGGGGGCCAGAGAGTCTGCAAGTCCACTAAGCCCCCAGGTAATGCTGCGGCTGTGGGCCCCAGGATCACATTTTGAGAAGCACCATGCTATGGAGCATGAACCAGGACACCACACGTATTCACTGAGAGAACAGACTCGTGAGGGAACAGACAGGCACTGGCTATTTAGAAAAAGGTTCTAGAAACAAGCTTCGACCGGCTGCTGAGCTGTTAGAACTGTGCTGCTGTCTTGTACAGACCTGTGCTAAGGAAAATGTCATTTACCCAAGGAACTCTTGTGAAAACCATCATCCAAATTAAACGGTGTTTCGTTATTGCAAATTATCTTCTCAGTGCTAGACCCTGAGGACAGAGGCAAAGACGACATATGCCCACCTTCGTGGGCCTCAGTTGAGAGGGTATCCATGCACGACTCAGCTGAGGAGAGGGTCACATGCAGCACAGCTTCCCTGGATGGGGTGGTCATGAGCCAAGTCTTGAAGGAGGGGGATGAATTACTTGAAATTGAAACTGTCCTGAAACATTTCGGGGATTATAGACACTATGGACCAAATCACCGGATGCACACAGGGTTTACGTCAGTCTGGGGCGGGCGGCCTACAACAGTCCCGTGTTGCTTCCAAAACAAAATATCCTTTCTTATTCGACAACACTCAGATAAGCAAACTGCTTACATCCACGACTTCATCTTTGGACTGAAAATCGGACACCAGCACGTTTTCCCCATCAGACACTCTGGTGAGCGAGACACACATTTTGCCGGAGACAAGTTGGTGGGCGTTGGCTGGGAGGTATTTGTGGAGATTGTCTCGTAGGCACTTGCCCATGTTGAAGGATGGATGGAAGATGCCAATGTTCCGACTCCTGGCCTTCCGGACAATCTCCATGAGGATCTGCAGAAGCAGGTCTGGGGGCAGGGAACAAATACATCAAAGAATGTACTACACCAGGCTGGATATGGTGGCTCATGCCTATAAACCCAGCACTCTGGGAGGCGAGGTGAGAGGATTACGTGAGCCCCGGAGTTGGAGACCAGCCTGGGCAACATAGAGAGATCTCAACAACAACAAAAAGTTTTTAATTAGCTGGGCATAGTGGCATGCACTTGTAGTCCCAGCTATTCAGGAGGCTGAAGTGGAAGGATCGCCTGAACCCAGAAGGCTGAGTGTGATGAGCCATGATTGTGCCAGGGCACTCTGGCCTGGGCTACAGAGTGAGAACCTCCCCCCCAATAATGTACTACACCAGAGACAGAAATTCTTTTTGGCAAGAACAGAAACCAAACAGCAAGGAAGCTACCAAACTTTTTCTAGACCTGCACTATCTAACATGATAGCCATATGTGGCCACTGAACCCTTGAAATGTGGCTGGTCCGAATTGAGACGTACAAAATACACACTGGATTTCAAAGTCTTAGTATGAAATAGCTCTTTAATGATGTTTTATACTGATTCAATGTGAAAATGATAATATTTTGCATATATTGGATTCAATAAAATTATTTTCACCTAGGTCTTTTACTTTTCAACATGGCTCCTAGGAAGTGTAGAGCGACACGCATAACTTGCACTATATTCCTGCTGCTCAGTGCTGCTCTAGGCTTCGGCCACTTGGAGGAAGCAACTTGGAAGAAGGCTTGCATTCTAAGTTGCCCAGGAGAGCGCTGCCCACCGCCATGCTCACAGAGCCAAAGCCTAGGAACACATCCGCATGAGGGCTTTGGAGCAGATGGCCTTAACACTGGAGGATGCCGGAGAAAGAGCACAGGCTTGGACCTGAGTTTGAATCCTGCTTCCACCTGTGTGACCTCAGTAAGGCACTCTGTCACCTGCTTATGTCTCAGGCTGTGCCTTTTAAATGTAGGGCAAGATTTACCTACATTTACCTATATTCTTCTGTTGGAGACAGAAATAATTTGATAAAATAGGATCTGTAAGAAGCTCTTAATAAATAACTACTGGTCTTAACCTTGAGACTCTCATGCCAGAATTACCAGACTGTATAGTGGGTACAGGGCACATTCGTGATCCCCATGCGATCTCATGCATTGGCCTGGCCCCCTCAGCCTGCTCTGCACTGTCCTGGCATGGAGAACCCCCCCTCCAACCAGCCTGACACCTGGCCAGCCATAAAACCTGAGATGCACAAGGACAGACATGCCCTAGCCTGACCCAACTCTGACCTCAACTCACAGCTCTCCCTCCTTGCGTGGCCCCACTGGGCCTGGCCAGAAGGGGTGGAATTGAACATGGCTGGCAGGTTCCACCTGTCTCTCCTGCCAAGTCAGCCTGGGCTCTGATGCACTGAGGAGCTGTGCCCAGGTCGCAACCCCTGTGGGGGCTTAAAGCAGAAACCTGGGGCCCCGGAATACAGGGAATGGCTCTGGATCTACTTTCCCGGGCCTTGGTGGTCCCTGAGCCTCCCTGTCCTGCCAGGCACGGCCCCAGGCTGCACCCATCCTCCGCCTGGTTAGGAACCCCCTCTGTATTGGAGTCAGTGTACTGCAGGCTCCTGGGATCACTGCATTTGAATCTTTTCCCAGCTCAACATGTGTCCATGTGGGTGCCCACAGGCCACCTTGGGCTGCAAGAGCTGGCTTTTATCATTGCTTAAAGCCCATGGTGTGCAGATGGTCATGTGGCCAGTCTAATCCCCCCTGAGGCCACACTTCCTGCCCTTTGCTCCTCTCCCCTTCTCCGGGAAGGCAGCTAGCCAGAGCAATCTAATCCCTAATCGCCACCTCCTAGTCAGCCCAGGGTCTGCTCATCGATGTTACCCAATGGCTGGGCTCTGCCTACCAGCAGGGGCTTCCTAGCCTCCAGGAACACAATCACTCCCTACTAGCTCTGGCTGGCAGCAAAGAGAACATTGTTAAGGAAGCCCAGATAAACGGGGGCTGATAAGGGACATTATCTCCCAGTGGGGGAACTAGGGTGTTAACAGTTCCCAGTTACTTGCCTCTGACCCTGCCTGCTGGCTCAAAACTCCAGGCCCATAACACTTAGGCCCTGGGAAGGATGCCACACCCTACTAGTTTGGACTAGCGAGAAACAAACCCCCATTCTGCCCCCCTCCCGTGGGCACCCGTAAGGACAAACGTTTCACTACGACCAGATTCAAATGCGCAGAATCTCACTTCCAGTGCCTCTGAGCTGGGGAGGGGAGGGCTGCCCCGGGTTAGTGTTGACAGAGGAGAGGATGGGGTGGGGGATGTCCAGGGATGCACGCTAGCCCCAAGGAAGGGTCCCACCTGCTGGAGGAGAGAGAGAGGAAACAACTTCCGATTTCACAGCAATCCCTCACGACTCCAGCTAGTCTGCCCCGGTGGACGCTCAAGGGTGGTCCCACCCGAGAGGCTACTCAGCCTTCAGTGGGCCGGGCTGTGACCAAAAGCTTCAGTCCCTCCAGTCCCCGAAGGGCAGACGCCCGGCCTAGGACACAAAGGCCCGCTCTTGGTCAGACCCAGGGCAAATCAGCCCTTCGGCCGCTCAGCCCGTCCAGCACCTCCCGCGCGGACGCCGGAACCGCAGGGACCAGCACCACCCTCCGCCCCGGGTCCCACTCCCTGCTCGCGTCGCTCGGAGACGCCCCGGCGCTCAGTCCCGAGGCGAGGGGAAGCGGAGGGGGGTTGGGGTGGGGATGCGCGTGTCCCTGCCTTCGGAAGACGCCGCACTGCCCGATGTCCCCACGCCCAGCAGAGCCGCCCCGCTG